TCCTGTTAACTTCTATTTCCTCCAATCACTTTCCTTTTTCCCTCTAATACTAGGAGTGACTTTGTGCCCTTTATTTATTTATTTTTTTAAAGATGTTATTTATTTATTTATTTGACAGAGAGGAACACAGTGAGAGAGGGAACACAGCAGGGGGAGTAGGAGAGAGAGAAGCAGGCTTTCTGCTGAGCAGGGAGCCAGATTTGGGACTTGATCCCAGGACTCTGGGATCATGACCTGAGCCAAAGGCAGGTGCTTAATGACTGAGCGATCCAGGCACCCCAACTCTGTGACCTTTAGTGGTTAGCAGGGGGCTCTCCCAGACAGAACTGTCCTAGAGCAGGCTTCCTGGAATACTCTGGACCCAGTCCACACAGTTCTGGCTGTGCCCACCCTACTCAGAGGATGCTGCAGTTGTTAAATCTGCTCTTGCCCTACGCTCCTTTCCTCAAGCCTAGCAGGACCACCTCACCCACAACTGCGGCTGCTGGTCCAGCTGCTTCCTGATGTCATTATATCTGAATTATCTCAGTATTCGCATTTTGCACTTTCAACCTGCTCCACATTTCTGGAACTGATTCCGTATATGAAATTCCCTGTGTTTGAAACACCCCAGTGTGCTTTTTTTTCTTTACCAAACCCTAACTCTAGGAGATAGTACATTTCTAATCACAGCAGGCTATCTGATGTGTTGTCAGCCCAAGAGAATTTTTTTAAAAGTTCTCATTTGAGAATTTTCATATTGGCTATTAATTACTCTATTTCAAGATCAATAAAAAATAATGAGAGTGCCTGGGTGGCTCAGTCATTAAGCGTCTGCCTTCGGCTCAGGTCATGATCCCAGGGTCCTGGGACTGAGCCCCTGCATCAGGATCCCTGATCAGCGGGAAGCCTGCTTCTCCCTCTCCCACTCCACCTGTTTGTGTTCCCTCTCTCACTGTGTCTCTGTCAAATAAATGAATAAAATCTTTAAAAATAAAAATAAAAATAATTAAAAATGATGAATTTGCATTAGAGTTTTTCACTAGCAATATTAAAAAAAAAAGAGAGAGAGAGAGAGAGAGGGAGGGAGAAAGAGAGACTACCAGTTAATGATCCTATCAATGTGACTAATGTTCAACGGTATCCATAGAATACAAAGACATCCAAAATCGCTGACTCAAAAAAAAGTATTTTTAAGACTTTTCATCTATGAAGACACCATTCTATAATCTGATATACTCACTCTTCTAGTTAATCAATAATTAAAAAAAAAAAAAAGACACTGATTGGTAAGGGGAATGCTATGGAGAAATCTGTTTTAGATCTAAACCTCAACTAAAGGAGTGTTTTTATCCTTACTCAACTTCACTCTACAAATCACACACATCCTTGGAAGGCAATGAACAAAGCAAAGTAAACAGGAACTCTGTACATGTTTATTTCAATTTTTAAAAATCCATCCCAAGGTAAAATTTCTAGGTACAAAAACAACAAAACAAAAACACGCATGTGTTTTAAAGATAAATTTGTCTTTAGAAAAAAATCAGATTCTTAAATGAGCACCAGAGAAGACAATAAATAGAAGCTAACTGGCCAAAATGGATATTTTCTATATCAAAAACCTCAGCATTATATATTCTGAAAATGTTAACAGTGAATAATTAGAAAAATGCCTAGTCTTCTCAAGGTTTCCTCAATGAATTAAACAACAGAAAAAGAAACATACAGAATATCTGTCTGGGTCAAAAAAATGTGAGTTGACAAATACTACCCACTTAGTCAATGAGGAAAATTACACTACTGATTCATAACATTTTTAGAAAATATAGCCTATGCTGTCTACTAACACAAGTAATTCATTAGCACTTCCTTCTAATAATAACTGTCTCCAAAAATAATGTTTAAAAAGGCTCTGGACAACATGCTAATAAATAAAATATTACACCAAGATGTAGTAAATAAACGTGCACACATTTGATGTTTCATGACTGAATGGCTTACATTTATGACAGCATAAGTCACACAGTTTATAAATATGTTGTATTAGCAGTATATTGCCTAGTGAAATAAGCCTTGGAGGATGAGGCAGAAGACTTGCTTATATCCTGACTCCATCAACATCATGCTGTATTATCTGGGCCAAGTCACTTCATGCCTTATTCTCTCTACCTGTAAAATGAGGGATAATAATATCTGCCTTTACTTGCTTACAACTAAAATAGTAACTGTAAAAACAAAGCTATGGGAGAAAGATCTTATACACGTATTAAATTCCAACTTTTTTACCCAAATGAAAAAAAATCTAAAAAAAAAAAAGACATGGCATGGTTAGTTTGCTGACCTAGAATAGGGCAGAGTGGTATCAAAAAATGCATAGCTTTTAAAATGAGACAAACCAGACTTCACCACCTACTACATTTGTGAGCTTGGGCAAATCTGTGTAAACTCTCTAACCTTCAGTTTCCTCACTATGAAATATGAATCTCTTAAGAGTTATAATAAGTATTAAATAATAAAAAATAAATCAATTACCTAGCACAGCGCCTTATACACTTTTTAAAATGTTAGTTTCTTTACTTTGAACTTTATGGGTACATTAAAAACCATATTCCCACTTTTGAATTCACAAAAAAATTTGATTTCAAGAACAGCTATAAAGCACAGGGACTGGGTTCTTCTCCCTCCAAAAATAATTCATATTAAAAAAAATCTTTTTGGTAGCTTTTTCCTCTGTCGAAGTATAAACTGACAAATTAAGAGTCAGCTGTATTCACAGACTACACAATAAAAGTCAAACATACAAAACAAAAACCCTTTTACCCTTTTAACTACTTACATATACCATTCCTATCTTCCACTTTCAGTGGTAAGCCAATGAGAAAGCAACAAAGAACCCTCTTTCATTTTCCTCTGATTAGGAGATATACAAGAGGAATTTTTAGTTATGTCAATTCCACAGTGATTTCAAAGCTAAAGAACAAAGTTAGAAAGGGAGAGAGTTAAAGACTATTGCTAGATAAAACTGATTTTCTTCTGTGCATATATGATTCATTCCTTTAAATAAGCAAACAAAAAAAAAACAAAACCACTCTCTAATGAATGTTAAACTCCAAATTTTATAGTATTAGAAATCAATTTAGTGCTGAATCTCTACTTTTAAATATTAATCAAAAAGTATCATCAGTGACAGGAGAGATGGGATGTTTCCCATCACTGTCATCAGTGACAGGAGAAATGGGATGAGGAAATTTCTACAGTTCACCCAGAGCAAAATATTGTTATTTTTTTTAAAAGATTTTATTTATTTATTTGACAGACAGAGATCACAAATAGGCAGAGAGGCAGGCAGAGAGAAAGAGGAAGGGAAGCAGGCTCCCTGCAGAGCAGAGAACCTGATGTGGGGCTCGATCCCAGGACCCCGGGATCATGACCCGAGCTGAAGGCAGAGGCTTTAACCCACTGAGCCACCCAGGCGCCCCCCAAAATATTGTTAATTTTAAGATGTATCCAATATGTACTCAGAACCCAGAAGCTGAATCCACAAAGGTTTAACAAGCAAAAATTTTGGCACAGAAGGTGGAATAAAATTTACTCAAGAATAAAACTGGTGGGGTGCCTGGGTGGCTCAGTGGGTTAAAGCCTCTGCCTTCGGCTCAGGTCATGACCTCAGGGTCCTGGGATAGAGCCCCACATCGGGCTCTCTGCTCAGCAGGGAGCCTGCTTCCTCCTCTCTCTGCCTGCCTTTCTGCCTACTTGTGATCTCTGTCTGTCAAATAAATGAATAAAATCTTAAAAAAAAAAAAAAGAATAAAACTGGAACCATATTTAAAAGTCTAAAACTTTTTAAACCAAGAAAAAAAAAAAAATGACCATAAAGGAAGTTCCTGTAATCACCTGGTTTGCTTTCTAGGTAAGGGTTTCAATAAAACTGAACACTTTTGAACAACAACAAAATTTGTACAGACTCTGGAAATCAGCCGCATTTACTCTGGATGAAATTCTTTCTGACAACTTTTTTAAAAAGGTGGGGAACAGGTCTATTAATTACTAAGGGTAGTACAAGTACCAAGCAGAATTTGCTTCCTTTCTAAATATACACAGTTTCCTATAAAGTATATCACATTTTGCAGCTCATGGTGAATTTTCTGATGGTTTTGCAACAGCACTCTTCTTCCTCTCCAAAACAATCTCATTCCTAGTCTGCTGTTTCTGTTTGCCTCATCTGCACTTAGCAGATCATGTTTCAGTGACTTAGAAATCCTAGCCACCGAAATTCAAGCCAAAGTTTGAATTGACACAAGAAGGGGGGGAATTCAAGTAATTAAACTACACTTGGAAGGGAGAATGGTTTTATCTCCTATGACTCTATAGCGTCCTCTTTTAATCCAAACCAGTCTCTAATTTTAAGGGAAGAAAACTTACAAAAAGTTATTTCTAATCTAAGGAATGGTTTTGTATCTTATAGTTCTCTTGGCATCATCTTCCAATTTTACCCTCTGGCAATGACACAAAACCATGAAGACCATTCCACATGTTAACAATGCATTCTTCAAATGAAATAGTTCAGTGCTTTGGGAAGTTTCATCAATTAAGGACTTATTCAAATTGTTGCAAATTAACATGAACTTAATTTAGAAACCAAAAGTGAAAAAAAAAAAAAAGACTGTAGCAAGGTTGGAGATAACGCCTGGATAGGTAGATAATAACCATGCTCTAGAGTACTGAGATTCAGTTCCTTCCATTTTATGAATTAGAAGATCCCTTTGAAAAGTTTTTTTAAAAATAAAATAAAACCACCATTAAAATAGTACCACTCATTCTGAAATAACATTATATAGTTAAAAGTTGGAAACTTTAGGAAACTGATATAATAAAATGGTCTGAAAGAACAATAACTATATTAATGCGCTTCTACATGAAAGATCAAAAGCTCTATCAAAAAGTTAAACAAAAAAATTAACAACTGTCTCTTTTTTGCTTGGTTAAATTCTCATCCTACTATTAAGCACCTTATAACATACCTTTGTAGAATGCCATTTTCCTGGGGTATTACACCATTGATAGCTGCCTGCAAACAAAAAACAAAGAAAGCCATTAAAAAAACAACAACAACAACAACAGAAAAATGCTCAGGGACAGGTGGGGTGGAGAACACTGTACAGGAAAATAAGTATACTTTGAAAAATAAAATTTAGGAGCACCAGGGTAGCTCAGATGGTTAAGTGTCTGCCTTCAGCTCAGGTCATGATCCCAGGAGTCCCTCATCTGGCTCCCTGCTCAGCAGGAAGCCTGCTTCTGCCTCTCCTTCTACTGCTCCCCCTGTTCATGCGCTCTTGTTCTGTCAAATAAATATAATCTTTAAAAATAAAATAAAATTTAAACAAAACACTAAATGTTTTCTTAATAATACAAAATATTCTCTAAAATATTTCTCTACTTACTATGATAACACTGTATTTTGGGAAACTAAAAAAAAGCAAAACAAAACAAAAAAACATGCATTTGGCATATAATATCCCCAAATCTTGAGTCATAAAAAGCTTACTTTCACAGTCTTCATTCAAGCAAAACACCCACAAAAACCAATGTTTAAGAATGTCAGAACAAGTAAAATAAGTACCTTGAAGTTTTTTTAACTTATTTTCTTCTTCAGATTGAGAGGAGTAAGATACAAAATCACAAATGAAAAAATGGACTCAAGAAATAAAATCAGGGGGCGCCTGGGTGGCTCAGTGGGTTAAGCCGCTGCCTTCAGCTCAGGTCATGATCTCAGGGTCCTAGGATCGAGTCCTGCATCTGGCTCTCTGCTCAGCAGGGAGCCTGCTTCCCTTCCTCTCTCTCTGCCTGCCTCTCTGCCTACTTGTGATCTCTCTCTGTCAAATAAATAAATAAAATCTTAAAAAATAAATAAATAAATAAAATCAGTCTTTTATGTTATAATTATTCTTAGTAAAAAGAACATTTAGAAGGAAAAAACACAAAGGCAAAAATTCTCTGATAAACAAAATACCATGATTGTACCAGGTTACAAAAGGAAACAGGAATATCACAGGAAAATAAGTTTCCTTATATAAAACATTCCTGAAGTCGGTCTCTAAGCTAACATGTCTCCAGTTACTTGGAACATAGCACAGTACTGACATGATATGGGCATTTTTGCAGGCTACTGAGCCAGCACGCTGTGACATCCTGGATTGCAGGCAGTTCACTGCAGGGTAACAAACATTCCCTGGAGGAAAAAACTTGGCGTTTCCAACTTTGCCTCTGTGTCATAACAACTTCCCTTCCCTTGCCCATCCAAGTCCACATCAAAATGAAAAAGGGTAAAAAAAAGGGGGGGGTAACGCTTCAGTGTTTTATCAGCTGCCTAGAAATCAATTCCCAAAAGGAGTTTGTGTATTTTGTGAAACATTAACTTAAATTATTTGTCAGAAGTGGATCAAGTTTACAATGTTATTCTGTTGAATGGAAATAAAGTAGAATGTAAGATGTTTGCTATGAATTTTGAGAGCTGTAATGCTCCACTGGCAAAATACAAAGATAGTCACAGATAAATACAGACAGTGGATTCCATAGACCCCTGACAACCTGGAGGCTCATAAATCCTGAGTCAAACAAATACTAAAATGAGTTTTCAAAGCCACAAATTCAATGGAAGCATCTCTGCCTACTTCCGGGTCAATTATCTCTTTTCTTTTGATAGCAATGGCTCCACACAGAAATATCCCCTTTGCTAAAAAATAGAAAATAGTGAAAGAATTTTCTATGGTGTTGGAAAAGAAACAAAATGCCAGAGTTTGGAAAGATTTTGTTCAAATTTTCACTCGGGAATTCAAGGTATAATGGAAAGAATACTAAGTATTTACAAAGTCCAAAATTTGAACCTAGACTTTTCCACTTACAAATTTTATGACCTTAATATGTTCTACACTCACCGAACCTCTTTTGAGCCTCAGTTTCCTCATCTGTATAATGAGGTAATACTATTTCCTTAGCCAAAATAGGCCTATCTTTGTGTTCCTCAAAAGCATCAAATTCTATTTTTCTTAGATCTTTTGAAGATAGTATGTTTGTTTGAAATGCCTTTTCCCCATTTCTTGTCTGGCTAAATCTTAATCATAACTGAAGTTTGTTAGATACACTTTTTCAAAAAATTCTTCTTAATCAACCCCCCATCTATATAGGCTTACTCTCACATAGAACACTGTGCTTTTCCTTCATAGTAACTGACAATTACTTATTTGGTGAATACTTGTTTTATATCTGTAGGCTATGTGACAGACAAGATAACAGTAATTTTGTTCATTACTTTATCCCAGTTGCCTAGCACAGCACAGGCATTAAATGACACCCGATACTTATTTGTTAAATTAATGAGCTGGAGGAGTACCAAAAAACAAAAACAGGGATGCCCGATTGGCTGAGCCGGTTGAGCAACTTACTCTTGATTTCAGCTCATATCATGATCTAGGGTCCTGGAATCAGGCCCCAGGTTGGGCTCTGTGCTCAGCAGCGAGTCTGCTTGAGGATTCTCTTTCCCCATCTCCCTCTGCCCCTTCCCACACATACTCTCTCTCTAAAGTAAAAATAAACAAATACCAAAAAAAAATAAAAGCCACATAGTCAACACCTGACCAAGGCTCAGAAAGCTTCCTAGATGAAATCATGTCTCAATTAAGACTGTAGGATAAGTGCGGGTGCCTGCGTGGCTCAGTCAACTGAGCAACCGACTCTCAGTTTTGGCTCAGGTCATGATCTTAGGGTGGTGGAGTCAAGCTCCATGAAGGACTCCATGCTCAGCAGGGAGTCTGCTTGAAGATTCTCTCCTTCTGCCCCTCTCCCTGCTCCTGCAGATGCACACATATTCTCTCTCTCCCTATCTCTCTCAAATAAATAAATAAACCTTTAAAAAAAAAAAAGACTGAAAGATAAGTGAGAAGTAGCAAGATGGGGTAGAGGGCAACACTATGCAGAAGGATCAGTGACACACCTCCACTTTCATTTTCTAAGACCTTAGGGTCATTTTAAATAATGTATTTGTTTTGGGGTAGAAAGTTAGTCCTTGACCTCAACCTATTTTGTACATAAATATGTAAAATGTAATCCAGAATGAAGGTACAATAAAAGTATTATTTGCTAAAAGGAATCTAGAATAGGGAGAGAGATTTTTGGGAGGATTAAGGAAAGTCTCAGAAAAGAGATAGCATTTGATCTGGACATCAAACAGTAAGTGGATATAGAAGCAAAGGAAATTTTCGTATGAGTTCAATTTTGAAAATGTTAACTTCAAAGTGACAGTAGGAATCATTTGTTTACTTAACAAACATGTATTAATTGCCAACTACATACCAAGCTTAGGCTAGGCAATGGAGATATACTAATGGACGTAACATAGCTTGCCTTCTAGCAAGGACAAAAATATATTCAACAATTAATTTTACTATAAGCAGTTCAGGTAATATCCAAATGGAGCCAAAGTAATTTAAAAATTCAAAGCCAGTAAAGCAATATATGTTAAAGGCAAATAAAAGCAGCCCTAAAAATATTTTAATTCCCTCCCCCTGTAAGCTTTCTTCTTTGGTGAAGAGTAGTTGAGACAAAGAGTCTTGTGAAATTCATACATATAAGAAATACAGGAGAGAAAGCTAAAGACAAAAACAAAACAATACAAATAGAAGGATTAGATATGAGGCAAAAGACCAGGAATATGTCATTGAAGGGGCAAAGAAGGTATTATAAGGAAGGATTAGACAAAACTGAAAAATGTGAAAATGGTCTAATAGTATGAGGTCTGAGAAGAGATTATTAGACATATTTTTAAAGTTTTAGTAAAAATTAAATTATAAAAGGCTAAGAAATACATGGGAAATAAAGTAAGTACAACTAACTCTTGAAATAGTATGAAAAGTATAAAAATAGGAGTGTCCTTATATTACTCATTATTTTCTGTATAATACAGATCACTTATTAACAGACCAGCATTTTTCCAGATGTTTCTTCAGTAATGCTTCAATAATTACATCACAGAATTATGATTAGCTTTATTTTTTTATTTTTTAGATTTCTTTGAGAGCAAAAGAAAGTGAGAGAGCGAGAGAACATGAGCTGGGGGGGTGGGGAGAGAAGCAGACTCCCCACTGAGCAGAGAGCCCAAAGTAGGGCAGGCTCAACCCAGAACTCCAAGATCATGACCTAAGCCAAAGACAGATGCTTAACCAACTGAGCCACTTAGGTGCCCCATATCATTAGCTTTATTCTTATTAGCAGCCTCCTCACCTGGCCAGTTTCCAAATTACTTATTACAGATCAGTAAAACTAAATACGTAACACATTTAAGTTATAAGAATTTATAAACAGAAAAAGTATTTAAAATTTTATGAAAATAGAAATGATAAATTTTTATTACATATACAATCATATGTATTATTAGTTGATTGAATTAAAAGTATAGGCAACTCTACATACACCACATGTTTGGAAAGCCTGTGAACTAGGAAAATAATAATTACTTTTTTTTTCTCCAGAGAAGGAGGGGAAAGAGATAGAGAGAGAGAGGGAGACAGAAAATCTTAAGCAGGCTCCACCCCCAGCATAGAGCCTGATGTAGGGGCTCATCTCACGACCCTGAGGTCATGATCTGAGCTGACATCAAGAGTTAGACACTTGGGGCACCTGGGTGGCTCAGTGGGTTAAGCCACTGCCTTCGGCTCAGGTCATGATCCCACAGTCCTGGGATCAAGCCCCGCATCGGGCTCTCTGCTCAGCGGGGAGCCTGCTTCTCCCTCTCTCTCTGCCTGCCTCTCTGCCTACTTGTGATCTCTGTCTGTCAAATGAATAAATAAAATCTTAAAAAAAAAAAAAAAGAGTTAGACACTTAACTGACTGAGCCACCCAGGCGCCCCAGTAATACTGGCTTTGTTGTGTCCATTTTTTTTTCATCTCCTGAAAATACTTAAAATATAGGAAAAATACTTTCTAAATTAGTATACTTTTGTTCAATTATTTGAAATTATTACTCTATGGCATGTCAGAGTCAAATAATTTCAAAATACTTAAAAAATAAACTTTGGTCCCACAAAGTACTAATATTTTAGCATTCACAACTCTGCTCTTGCCATCAAGTGAATTCTTCCAACAAAACCAGAATGTCTCTCCTCCAATCACACTGATCCTTTATAAAGAACATCCTCTTTTCCACCAGTTCAAATTCATTCATTCTTTTATTCCCTGAACACAGTGTTTTAGGACCAGAGGGAAAACAAAAATGACAAGACATGTTCTTCCCAGGACAGGCAGTTATAGAAACAACTAATTGAAACAACTAATATGAAACAACTAATTGAAACAACTAATATGAAAGGCAATGGGATCATGAAGAAAGAAATGCCTATTGTTGCCTAGTGGAGATGCAAACCCAGATGTGAATCATTTTCTTCAAGAAAATTTAACTGATTCACACCACCTTTTTCTCAATGATTTTTCTTTTTTTTAAGTTTTTATTTAAATTTCAGTTAGTTAACATACAGTGTAATATTAGCTTTGGTGTACAACTTAGTGATTTAACACTTCCATCATCCAGTGCTCATCACAAGTGCCCTCCTTAATCCCCATCACCTATTTAACCCATCCCCCCCCCACCTCCCCTCTGGTAACCATCAGTTTGTTCTCTATAGTTAAGAGTCTGCTTCTTGGTTTGCTTTAAGTCTCAATGATTTTACCCTGTTTTGTACTTACAAAGTACTCATACATCTCAATCATTTATCTGAATATTTCATTCATTCATTCCAACATCAACCCATCCAATAAATATTTAGTAACTTACCTAGAACAATTCTGGGTACCGAGGAAACAACAAAAGTAGTAGATTTAAGTGTCCATGCTAAATTCACAAAATTAGGGACGCCTGGGTGGCTCAGTTGGTTAAGCAGCTGCCTTCGGCTCAGGTCATGATCCCAGCGTCTTGGGATCGAGTCCCACATCGGGCTCCTTGCTTGGCAGGGAGCCTGCTTCTCCCTCTGCCTCTGCCTACTACTCTGTCTGCCTGTGCTCGCTCGCTCACTCTCTCTCTCTAACAAATAAATAAATAAAATCTTAAATTCACAAAATTATCCCCCCTTCGTGTTTTTGCCCTGAGTAGAGCCAATGAGATGTTCTGTAAAGGCCCATCATTCTACAGCCATGAATTGTGGAATTTTTACCTTTTACCTTATATGGGGATGAAACACTATCCTGTGTGTCTCCTCTACTCTCATACTCTACTACCAACAACACTATTTTACTTGACACCAGATGTATGGGTTTTCTACACATCAAGCAATTCTGCAACACCAGCTAGGTGTCCTACAATTTAACTCAATTCTGACATTATCTACCTAGAGACAGCATTGGATCCCACAAGTTAAGGGCTCAGTCACACAAGCCTACTCCCCTCAGATGCTAAGTACATGTCCAGACTTGTTATCTGTGCCTCTGGCTAAAAATCAGTCATTCCCACAATCTTCTCTTCCATTCAATTAATTTGCTAGAGTGGTTCAAAGAACTCAGGAAAACATTTTACTTATTAGATTACTGACTTATTATAAAAGGATTTAACTCAGGAACAGCCAGATGGAAGAGGCGCCTAGAGAAAGGCATATAGGAAGGCATGCTGAGCTTCCATGCTCTCTCTGGGCACACTCTCCCCCCTCACATCCTCATGTATTCACCAACCTGGAAGCTTCCCAACGTGTATTACTGGGATTTTTAGGAGGCTTCATTACACAGGCATGAACCATCACTAACTCAATCTCTAGTCCTTCTCCCCTTCATAGAGGATGGGGATAGGAATGATAGTTCCAAGCTTCTAATCATGGTCTGGTCTTTCTGGTGATCAGCCCCTATCCTGAAGCTATCCAGGAGCCAAAATCTCCTCAATAGAACAAAAGTCACTCCTATCACCCAGGAAATTCCAAGGGATTTAGTAGTT